CCCCAAAACCCCAAAACCCCAAAACCCCAAAACCCCATTCAATGTAAAAATGATTGAAGTATTATTAATAGAATCTTATCAAGGCGGATAGAAATAAAAATATCAGTTCGGTTTTGGAGTGCTTAAGTTTGGGCTAAAACCTTTGGCTGGAATTAAAAATTTTAATAACCTGACAACTTTAGTTGATAACTCACATTTAAGAAAGTAGTTTATTTGAACGAGAAACAAAATTCTACGATAATTCTAAAGTTAAACTGGAAATTTAAATTTAGCATGCCTACAACAACATAGGCCTTATTTTGATATCTGTAGAGGGCACTGTAGATTTCTCTAGCAGATCCTCTGTAGAAGAATCCGAAGTATCACTTGCTTGAGAAAGTTCTTCAAGCTCATCTATTTCGTCTACACCTGCTCTGAATGAGTAGCCTCTTTTAAGCTTAAATTGCTCTCTGTCGAAGGCTTTTAGTTTAGCTATAAACCCTTCGTTGGGGTCTATTATTTCTCTTCTTAGTTTTACGATATCAAAGGAGGTGTCAAATGAGACTTGAAATTTTCTCATTAGATACATGATAACCATGGAAGCAGACCTAGATCTGCCCATTGCACAATGGACTAGGACTCTATTCTGATTGTTACTGTGATGCATCTGTATTTGACTTAGAGAGTCAATGTCAAAAAGCTTATCATAAATTTTATTCTTAATTTCTGATACAGCCATTACACTCAGATCTAACAAGATGTCATTTGTCTCTGCTGCAGAATTTACTAATGTCATTGATTTCTTTCTGCTATCAGAAAAATTATGGACCAAATCAAATTTAGTGCTATAAATCTTCATCTTATGAATCTTCTTCTTGGAGATGGCCTTGTCGATGAACTCATAAGCTGCGTTGAATAAATGGTTGTCCAAAGGAGCATCCTCTGTGTCCTCCAAGTTGATCTTTTTATATGTTATATTCATACTCTTTGAATCTTCAAATGTATTTGGAAGGTTTGTCGAAACATTCAAAATATGAGTGATTCCTAGATTATACATTATGGTCCGATTTTTAGCATGAGTTGCATCTCCAAGATAAAGTCTTCTGTCAATAATTTCATTTGGATATCCATTTCACTTTTTTGGATCCATGTAAAGGCTGTGCCCTTTGAACTTACACATGAAGGGGTATTTCCCTTGGATAGCATTGAAGCTGTTCCTGCAAATATAAACTTCTCTGGTTTTCTCTTTCTTAAAAGCTCTGTAAAGTAAAATTGAATTTTTAGTAGCGAGTATGTCTTGGGCAGAGTATTTAAACTTCATATCATCCATATTCTCAAAGTCAAACAGTCCTTGCAATTCTTTGAAGATCTCCACGGATCAGACCCGATGCGCCACTATGACTACAACCGACCTCTTTCTTTTCTTGAATTTCTCTTTGTCCAGTTCCTTAGGAATATATTTCTCAATAAACTCTTTCACATTAAAGTTGATAAAGTCTTCCTTAGCCACCCTATCAACAGGAATATTTATAGATGACTTGAAATGGCAGTTCTTGAAGTGCTCCTGACTTCGCATATCTCAAACAAACATTTTCGGGAAGGTCTGGTACAAATTAAACATCTGTTGGGCGTTGATAGTTTTAATTCTGAACGGGTCCATTCCAATAAAATCAATCTCTTGCTTATAGTCCTCTTCAGTGAGTTCTGATAACATTGTGTCGAAATAAATGCTTTCAATACTCTCTTTCTTAACTTTGATGTGAGTGTCCATAATTATTAATTAATTATAAGACAATTTTAAGAAATAGGCTAGGGGTTTTGGGGTTTTGGGGTTTTGGGGTTTTGGGG